AGAATTCGTGGATCAGTGTTTCATGATTATTAGTACTCTGCAACATTCAAAGGATTGATGCTCCTTCCACAATTAGGACTCTTATGACTCAGAGCTGCTGATTGCCTACAACTATCCAAAATAACATCTAAGTTATTCATGTATTTTCCATACAAGAATTATGAATCACTGTAAAGTTTCTTCAGTATCGTATGTTCTTGTACTGAATGCTGAAAATTCCTTGTTGTATAATTAGTACTGTTTTTGGAATAAGGCAAAAATTATTTTTATTCTTTTTCTTTCGTACAGTGTTTTAAATTTTACCACACTTCCCTTCAAAGTACTAGGCCAATCTACACCGAGTTTGACATTTGTTTGCCCTGATTGAGTTTCAACATAGGATTTAATACAGAAGTATTGCAGTTCAAGTTACCATACTTCTTGTATCACACAAAGGTATGGTAAAGAAAAGAATAAAAGTAAAGCCTTCATGGTTGAAGTTTAATTACAAGGTGTTCAACAGCGTCAACATTGATGTGAGCATTTACACATAATTTTTAACTAATCCTCAATTTATAGACTAGAACATATTGGGCTGGTGGATAGCTTTCAAAAGTGTGAAAAAAGTGGCCCCGGGTGTTATGTACGGCTGCTGAGTGAGTTATTAGAGTTTTCCCCGTCGCCAATCATGTTGTAGTGAGAGCAGGCTGCTAGCCAATTGGTCTACATTAACCTACATCAATGTCTAGGTCACTAATATTGGCCGTGAGAAAATATGAACAAGGCTGATTCAACAACCAATCACAGCAAACTTAAACGTGGGCAAATATGATTCGCAGATAGATGGCTCCACTTTCCGAGAAACTCGAAAACAACCAATCAGAAGACTACGTTTGTCTACTTGAATAAGCTCTAATAATGTACATAAAATATGTATTAATACGTGCTGATTTCCGTAATAAAATGATCTGTTAGCAGCCCTTGTCTTCTGTTGTTACAATGTTATGTACTCGTCGAGTAGTTAATAGTCCTGACGCGGAAAGAGGGAAATCAGAAGACCACTAGGTTCACGATGATACTTGTATTTTCCAGACAAGGAAAATAAATGTCACACTAGTGTGTGAGTGAAATGGTACAAGTGTACGAAATGTGTGTGTGAACCAGAATAATAAATTGTACAATGCAAAGTATATATGAAAATGGCTAATACACATGAACCAATAAATAGACAGTCTTAACATGATTGGTTGTAATGTCATGTGACAACAAGGTCATACATGTTTATTTAGTTAGTGGACAGACAAAAGCATATTGTCAGTTATAATGAAATATCGATCCATATACACATAGCAAAATATAATAGACTGTCACAAATAAAACACACATCATGTGGATACATATCACCGGGTTCGAGTCTCATAAAAGAATCCCATTGCTCATTAGGGATGTAATTACATTCAGACAACAAATCTTAGATAAGTAAAAACATGCTTCCTGAATTCTACATTTATACAATACTTCCAACAAGTAGCATCAAGCTACCAGTCATCATATTTGTTATATCCTGACATCTCCTGAAGAAGCCTATGTAGCAAAATTATTATAAATGCTATAATTATTCACTCCTCACGTCTCGAGTGGAAGAAATAGTTCCAGCAGCATACCTGCATTCATCTGGCTCCATGACTGTCCATAAGCTTTTATTTTCTCTGTAGACGGCCTTTTCTATGTCACCCTTGGGTCCCCGACCAACTTGTCGCTTCGTATTCAGGTCTTACTCTAGGTTGTGGAATACGGTCTCAGTTGAGTATCTGCTCAGAGCATGTTCAAATCATATTAATTACTTTCTGCGTATTTGTTAAGTATTTATGTTTTATTAAAACACCCACTTGGTATACTATGAGAACCAGGACATGCACTACACAGTCTCATAGTTTGTGAGAGAGCTGGGATAATGACCGGGTAACAGGTCCAGAGTAATTAGTTGTCTAAAGGATCCCCCACCCTCGGAGCTGTTTAACTAAAGTCTGATCCACAAGGCAGTGGAGTTGCGTTGGGATATATGTCCCTATAGTTGCTAGTGGTCAAAAAGGTTAATACACCTTTTGAAATGTTCCAATTTAGGATCCCATGTACATCATAGGTTTAGAATCAGGATTTCCTAGGTCTCCTAGGTAGACAAGAATGTCTACCAGGCTGATTGTAAGCGTCAGAAGTTTGTGAGGTACACCCAAGTGGCGTGGAGGGAGTGAATAGGATTTACCAGGCAGGAGCTATGAACGCATTATGAATTTTTCGAAATGAAGACCGAAGTCTACCTACATATGGAATTGTCAGGTCTTTTACGGAGGCTGTTTAGCGTCACTCTCATAGTTTCCTGCTGTTTATCCCTTTTAGCCAAACATCTGACCTTCAGTGGGAAGTGAAGGTAGCTATTGATCGATGAAAGTCTTCAGGATGCTGGAATATGTGCCAAGTCTATAAACCATGTGGAAGCACTAGTTTGATGTTAATATTTTATTTCTTCTGATAAGTACTGTGGATTTCCACACTCATTTTAAAAAGTCCTCTTTCCTATCTTGTTTTCTCAAACCTGGCTTGCTTTGACATGCTCATGCATGCCAGCTTCAGTTGAAACCATACTATATAGTCAGGTGAATGGAAGGGATGATTTCCCTTGGATTTCCCTCAGTGATATTGATTACTATTTGTTATTGTTGGTCCGATATGTCTTCATCACCTCTGTTTCCTCTATGTTCATTTAAAGTTTGATCCCCTCTACCTCTCTATTCCGTCAACTTGTTGGTTTTCCCTTGTAAATTTCTCAGTTTATGCAACATGAGACATAAATCATTCGGAAAACCCACATCTTCTAGGGTCCTCCGTATGTTGCACTCGTACTCACTCCTGACGGTCTTCTATTTGATCCAGTCGCCTACAGTCAAGTAGACCATCTCCCATGGAAGGCGATCTTGTCTTACTTCTGTTTAATTATCTCCAGATATTTCATTTGGAAATCAGAAAGATAATGAAATAACAACTTAAATTTAATAAAATTAAAAGATATTTTCTGACTGTCTACTTTTTCCAATAGCTTTTTTATCAAGTGTTGTTTTTTGGGGGGATTAGATCTGATTGGCTACAACATTTCATCACAAGCTGATATGAATTAGAGAACCATCGGAAAACCACCTGGGAGTACTGCCAGACTGTTGTCTTGTGCTAATTTGAGATTTTTCAGCAGTATGCACCCACAACAAGGGTTAGAACTCAGGGTATCCGGTTACACGGTGAGTTAGCTCGTAGATCATTAAGCCACTGGGACCCAATTCAATGGCTAGCCCATGAATTCCAACTTCTGTCGATTCACGATATAGCGCGACCACACACGAATGTCATCCGTGGCTTGACCTGGGTTCTCTTTTGAAGTTATGATCGGTGGGGTAAATCGGTTTGGGTGTGAGGACAAATACTCGTCAAAGATGACACTGGCCAGTGGTCGTGCTATATCGTGGTTTGTCAGAATTCGGAATTCATGGGCTGGCCATTGAATCGATCCCAGTGGTTCAATGGTCTATGGACTAACTCACTTTGTGACTGGAATGTCCTGGGTTCTAACTCTTGTGGTGGATACGCACTGATAAAGAGTGCCAAATTAGGACGAAACGACTGTTTGGCAGTACTCTCAGCTGGTTTTTAAATAGTTCCCTAATTGATGTCAGCTTTCTTATCATTTTGATTTCAAGATAGAAAAAAAATTGAAATATTAGAAAAGTTTCTCTCTTTAAAGCAGAACATTCTACTCATGGACACAAGTAAAATCCTCATTAAAATCTGAAAATTTGGCTCATGAATAATTCTTCATTCCACATCTTAGATACTATTCTAGATAGAAGAGAGAAAAGCACATTGAAAAGGTTGAACTACCAAGAGTCAGTCTCTATAGAACAATACACTAACTTCAATAATTAGGTAACACAAGGTAGAAATAGGAATCTTATCCACTCTCTATGCTTCAGAGTTCGGAAAATCTGTTCAATAGATACATCCGATAACAAAATGGAGACTTTTTGCGCGATATTCTTAAATAATGGATATCCTAGAAGGTTTACTGAAGGAAACACTAAGCAAAATCATAGTGCTAAATGAAAACACTGTATGAGCTCCTCGTCTAAAGGTGACACTGTTGCCAAAGTTATTAAGTTATTGTCTATCCAAATGTATTAAATGCTTTTTTTGGCGCTGACTTACGCCTAGTATTCTCCAAATGAGGCATGATTCGACATTGCTTGAAGGGTAAGCTACCACCTTTAGCCACCTCTGTGTATATCTAATTCTTTCGTATGTTCTTAGGGAGCTCATTACACTGGACGTTGTAAACATCATTTTCGAGAAATGCATAGGTGAACACTACCTGGTTTGATTGACGAAACACGAGCAGAAGAAAACTGTACTTTTCTTTACAGAAATTTCTGGTAAATTCGAAAGAGCCTTTTCAGTATCCAAGGTAAAAAGTCAAAATCTGCAATTTGCAAATTAATTTGCAATCTACAAAGTTTGAAGTGAGATTTCATTAAACGTTTCCTTTGGAAACTAAAATTAATCAAATCGCAAAATGTGATCCGCTTGATACCATCGAATGGTAATCAAAACATCAAGCATAAGCGCATAAACCGCATTACTACTCATCATCTCGACCAGTCAGTAGTATATAATTTTTATGCATTTATGATAGGTAGTAAAGTATAATCACGTGATTCCGCATTTTTAACCAATCAGAATAAAGTTAAATCCTATTGCATTGATTGATAAAGTTATGAATTTATCAACCAATCAAAATATACGTTTTATTTTGAAAAAAAATAATTAAACTATCATAAATTATATTATAATTTATTTACAGAATACATTGGATTCGCAATTGTTTTAAGTGAACGGACAAAGAGATTTATAACTCATTTGACAATTAACATATCATCATCATCATTATATATTTAATACTCACATACACATAAATAAACATGTCACACCGACGTGAAGCAGGCGCTGTTCCACCATGGGTTATTCCAGAAGAACATGCACGTTGTTCACCTAGAAATAAAGTAAATCAACAATCGACAGTGGAAAAGTCTCCGTTGAATCAAGTGGAAAATGTTGTTAATAATAACAGTAATAATAATAATTCAAATTATAAAGTTAATATGGCAGCCGGAGACTCTAATTCACAACAAACACCTAAAGCAAAAGTGAGTTATATTTGAATATATTTAAGATTATTACGTGTTATTATCATTATTACTGTTATGATTATGTCATAAATGTCACTGTTAAATTATTCATGATTCCTGATAACAATCGAGGTGGTTATCATAATAATAATAATAATAATGATAGCAATAATAGGAAGGATAAATTTATTCAGGTGTTTATATAATCTGGTTAATGGTAAGTGTATAGGTAGAGTGTGTATACTGTTAGAGGTAGAGGGGAAAATAATTATTTTCACATAGCAACCAGATAATATAATAATAATACAAGGTGCCGCAAGGTTTCAACTCCCTAGGTTGGTACATCTTCGGCTGTTGGGCCTAGCCGAAGCAGTTGCCATAATGATTTTTCAACTCAGTCAATGTGTTTAGAAAAAATTCGTTCAATTTCTCTCCCTGCCTTGGTCTTCACCCCCTAACCTAAATTAGTTATCTCTCCTGGTGACACCGGATATCTGTAAATATTATCTTAATTATTTTGATTTACAATATGGTCCTCAGTAGTTGTCATTGTATATAGAGCAGCGACGTCAGATGATATCAGAAGAGTACTCAATAACCACATCATAGTTTTGTACAAAACGTCAGACACACTGCGAAGCACCCTTGTCCATATAAAAGACCTAATCCCTAAGGATTTTCAACCTAATTGTGTCTATAAAATAAAATGCTTGATTAGTATATGATGCGATATACATCGGACAAACATCGCCAGAGAGAAATCTAAATCAGAAGAAATGAACACCGCAGAGCCTCCTCTATTCGACCACAGAGAAATGCAGTTGAACTAGAAAAGCTTGAAAAATCACCAGCCACAGGTGGTCTTCTACACGCTATAGAATTAGGTAACAAAATTGATTTTGACAATATTAAAATCATCATTCAGAAAAAGCATTTCAGAAATCACAAAGAAAGTCTAATATCAGAGGTCAGCACTTCACACCAAATGGAATCCAAAATGTCTGGCGAATAGGAATGATGATGGACTAAAACCGAATTTGACCTGGTCACAACATCCCCCTCCCCCATGAAGTGACAAAATCAGCACCGATGTGATCAGCAATTTTATTATGTAAACACACACGCTGCTCTTGCATAATTTTACACACTTATCAAATCCAACAATCTATGACTGGTTCTGATATCTTTACCAATTGGCCAACGTGACAGAAGCAGAAAAAATTACCTCATGCTGAGGAACGATGATTAAGTTGTTATATATATGCTGAGGTTTTGTGAATTTTGGTTTAGTAATATTATTTTGATAAAGCTATAAGCAGCAGTATTAAGTAACGAAAGGTCAGTAAATGCAACATTGTCGTTTTGTTTTTCATTCATTGGGAAATACAAAAAGACAACTTTTATTATAATGAATATCACATATACCAGATGCCCAAATTTTTTCGCGCTGAGCTATAGTTGTACATTTTAAACTTAGCTTCACCACTTATTATGGTATTATATTATCTAATTACCATGCTACTGTGGTGAGAGCTGGCGGTTAGTCAAAATTGGTGGACAGTAATTTACGTCAATGTTTATGTCCCCAATACTAGTCGTGAGAAAAATGAGAACAAAGGCTTTGTGTAGGCGGATACAGTTAACATATAGATGATCTGACATTCAAGAAACAGTCACAAAGAGAAGCAAGGTTAACTTTCTGTGAGAAACAACCAATCAGAAGACTGTGTTTTTCTGCTAACGATAATCTATAATAATGTACATGAAAATCTATAAATATGTGTTGATTTACATAATAAACGATCTGATGCCTGGCCCTTGTCTTCTGTTGTTACACTACTGCAGTTATTTTCCCCTCTACCTCTAACAGTAGATACATTCTGCCTATGCAATCACCATTACCTAGATTTTATAAGCACTTGAATGAGTTTATCCTTATTATTATTATTATGATCACCTGGATTGTTATCCATTAAATCACATTCCTGAACTCTGATCCTGGATACTTTATTAACCACATTAATTCAAAATCCCCATGATTAATAATATAAATGTAAAACCTGAAGAGAATTTCCATATTAGTTTGTTCACTAGATATATATCACACAGTGAAACAGTATTAATGTCTACTGGATGACGTTTCGAACAAAATGCTTATGGTTCATAACTATATAATCAATTGTAACTAACTATGCAGCTTTTAGGGTTGGTGGCACTGCAGTAGAATGCTCGCCAACCAAGCCACACCTGATTCGGGGTTCCATCCTCGGCTACAGATGCACTTCTTCACCTTGGTAAGCCAGTAGTAAGACTGATAGAGAGGGAAGGTTGGATATGAGGTTAGCAGCCCCATCCCGTAAAAATAAAAATACCGCTGCTACTGAAATTTCAAAGCTCTCATTTTGAAGCCCTATGCTCCATTGGAAACGTAAAGGAATGACGAAATTATTACAAGTTGGATAATTTCGTTTTATAGTTTTCTTTATTCATTTCTATTTGTCTTAGGGGTAGTACAATCCATATTTAAAGATGTTAGATCATTCCTATTGTGTATTTACTTGCAGTTAATAAATAAAGTTTCTATAGTTTGGTTTGTAAGGATTAGTTATGTTTTACGAGTTGATCACGGATTGATATCAGTTAGAGAACCATTGAAAACCAGGGAGTACTGGACAGCTGCTGTTTCATCCTAGTTTGGGAATCATCGGCAGTACGCACCCACTGGGTTTCGAACCCAGGACCTTCCGGTTACAAGGCAAGCTCGTATACCATTCAGCCACTGGAACCCGATTCAATGGCTCGTGAATTCTAACTTCTACCAATTCGTGATTTAGCGCGACCCCAACCATTGTTGTTGGTGGGACATCCATCCACACACGTGACACGAGCCATTGAATCGGGTTCCAGTGGCTGAATGGTATACGAGCTTGCCTTGTAACCGGAAGGTCCTGGGTTCGAAACCCAGTGGGTGCGTACTGCCGATGATTCCCAAACTAGGATGAAACAGCAGCTGTCCAGTACTCCCTGGTTTTCAATGGTTCTCTAACTGATATCAATCCGTGATCAACTCGTAAAACATAACTAATCCTTACAAACCAAACTATAGAAAGTTAATCTGATGCTCGCTAGTGACTTGCTACAGGTTGGAGTTTCCTGAGTTCTAGTGAGAAGTCGTGACCAGTGAGGTCCAATTAGATGTCACGTGTGTGGATGGATGTCCCACCAACGACAATGGTTGGGGTCGCGCTAAATCACGAATTGGTAGAAGTTAGAATTCACGAGCCATTGAATCGGGTTCCAGTGGCTGAATGGTATACGAGCTTGCCTTGTAACCGGAAGGTCCTGGGTTCGAAACCCAGTGGGTGCGTACTGCCGATGATTCCCAAACTAGGATGAAACAGCAGCTGTCCAGTACTCCCTGGTTTTCAATGGTTCTCTAACTGATATCACTCCGTGATCAACTCGTAAAACATAATAAATAAAGATTCCGTTATTAATGTATTCTTGTAAATCTCATTATAATAGATTTTATGACTATCGTTATATCTCATCCTATTGTAGAATTGTCTGTAATGGCATGTAGTACTACAGCTGAGGTATTTTTTTCTAGATTTCCTATCTTATTAGGGTGTGTTAGTGAAGATTTCGTTAGGTTTTTGTGCTCTCCTTGTGTAAATGACCCCTGGCCTATCAAAATGACCTTGAAGGTGAATAAACCGCACAAAAGAGTTATGTGAATAAAAGTGCATGAATTTTAGTTTACCAAGGACAATTTCGATGTGATGGTAAATTGTTTATTAAAGTGATTTAAAAATAATAATTATTATTATTATGATAATAGCTTTATAAATTTGAATATCCCTCATAATTTATTCAAAACTAGAGTAAGTAGAACGAAAAATTGTTCCCAACAAATTCTTCTTCACGCTCTAAAATCATAGATCCATTAATTGTGGGACAAGCACTTTGTGCCACGATTAATGGATTTATAATTGTAAAACATGAAGAAGAATTTATTCAGAACAACTGTTCACTCAAATTATTCTTGTTGTGAATAATGCTTACACACACACACACACACACACACACACAACATACAGGATTCTTACTGTAACTGGTTTCATAATACTTTCTCTTCGTCAAAAATCTCCAAGTAAGGAGGTAATGAAGTTTGATCATGGATTGATGTCAGTTAAAAATCGTCGGGGAGTTCTGGGTTGATGTTTCGTCCTTGTTTGAGACTCTTCAGAAGTACGAATCTGCTGGGTCTCGAAACCAGGACCTTTTGATTACAAGGCGAGCTGGCCAGTTGACCGTTTAGCCTCTGGGGTGAGACTCCGTGGCCAGCGCATGAATTCTAACTCCTACGAATTCGTGATTTTGGTGTCGAAACAACCAATGTCACTGGCGAACAATTTAAATCCTTACAAACTAACTCTTGAAAATTAATCTGATGCTCACCAGTGGCTGGCTAAAAGACAAAGTCACCTCAGGTTCTAGTGAAAAGCTGTGACCACAGGGTTGACCAGGTCTGGATTAAGAACCAATACTCCCCAATGACAGTAGCTGGAGGTTGCATTAAAATCGCACATTCGTAGAAGTTGGAATTCATGAGCTGGCCACTGAGTCTCTTAACAGTAGCTGAATGATCCAAGAGCTTGCACTATAACTGGAAGAAATTAGGTTGGAGCCCCAGAAGGTATGTGATTCTGAAGAGTCCCAAACTAGGACGAAACAGCTTTACAGTTTTTCCTGGTTTTCAGTGATATCAATGCATGATCAAACTCTAAAATTCGACATATTATTCGTGGATGGAAATTCAGGTAGCTCAGTGTTTGAAGCAGACCGCCAACTTCAGGATACGTCCTTAATCAGTCTTGTGAATAGGTTTAAAAGACAAAAAAACGTTAATTATATACCCTCAAATTCTAAAATGTATCTTACAACAGAAGAGACTGACCGTCTTGTTTCACTATTATTTGGGTGTGGGGCCACTTAGAAATATATCTTAATGCCAT